CTTTATTTATATAATTATTTATTACTAAAGATTACAATGCTTTTTAGTAACTGTAACTTTCATTTAATTAATACAGTTGTTTAGTTAAATGAATATATTTTAAAGTTATCGCTCGTGACTTATGAGTAAACCGGTCGGCGACGGTATCGCGGATGTTACTTGACTCGGTTCTCGCGACGCGCGTAACGTATCGTTACGTTTAGATTTCAAGACAAGACTCTGCGCTCGGCATTTAGGCGGTCGCTTATATTGAGTTTGATGATGTCGCTTTTGGTCTTCGATCGGACCATATATGGTAATATTCGTCGCGCTAGAGGCGCGATCGCGTGATTAAAGAATGTGCAATCTTGCACTTCCGCTGTTGGTTGCCATGCCGAGTGCATTTAGGTATTTCGCGCGCTACGACCTTAGATCGACGCTTTGTCGCGCGCGGTTTAAAGAATGTGCAGACTTGCATTTCCGGTGCCGATTACTATACCGGTTGAATGAAATAATTGATAAAATAAGTGATAGCCATTCGGGCTATAACAGATTTGATACGAGCGATTACTCTGTCGACAATTCATATCACATTCCGCTCGCGAATAAAAAAGTTCCAGGTCTTATGAAAGACGAGAACAACGGTGACAACATGACTGAATTCGTCGAGCTTAGAGCGAAAATGTACGCTTTACGTGTGCAAGGAAAGAAGGATACGAAAAAGGCAAAGGGTGTCAAAAGTAACGTTGTGGCAAGATCCATAACTTTTGATGATTACACGCGATGCTTAAACGATGCTATTGAAATGACGCGCAGACAATCGTGCATCAGATCGAAATTGCACGAGGTGCACACGATATCGGAAACAAAAATCGCTCTAAGTCCACACGATGATAGGCGGTATATCGTATCAGGTTCTACCGACACGCTCCCATGGGGACATTACCGATGTAAATAAAACATATCTTGTATGAATAATAATAATATTTAATATGTATAACATGTATAAAATGTAAAATATATGTAATATATCATATGTAATATATATAAATATGTAAATATATCCATATGTAATATATAATATGTAAATATATTTGTAAAGGATATTTAATATACTTTAATGTATAATATATAATTTATATAATGTGTAATTTTTATAATGTATAATTTATAATTTTATAATACATTGTCTTTATGAATCCACGAATTGTGTGATTTGTCAAGTCCCAACCATTTCACATAAACCTCGTTTCCCCTTTTGCGCAACACTTTTTCAACAAGGTATACATCGGGATTAGCGACGCGATGCAGTTCGTATTCGTAGAATCCTCCAGCTATGAGCTCTCCGCGGGAATCCTCCAGTAGATACGTCACTGGATTAGTTTGCTGCACTTTGATAATTTTAAAGACCTCCGTCGTCCAGTTCGGTGTGAAACCTTTTTCAAATATTGTCTTGAATTTGCTCACGCGTACCGTATCGCCTACTTTGAATTTTGCGGGACCCGCGATCTTTATCGCACCGTACCCAGGAGTCTTTCGGCGATCGCGGGGGTTACGTCAGCGGGTCGCATGCCGATAGTGCGATGCTTACGCGCGTTGTAATCCGATACGAGACGCGGCAGCATTTCGATCCATTTGTAGCTTCCGTTGTATGTAAACTGTTTCCACATGTCATTCTTCAATGTACGATTGAATCGTTCAACGACCGATGCCTTCATTACGGAATACATAGAATAATGATTGATGTTGTGCTTCTTCAAAATTTTCTGCACATCTGAGTTCTAAAATTCTTTTCCTTTGTCAGTCTGCAAATTTTTCGGACATCTTCGGTCGTCTCGAATTATCTTTGCAATTGCCCGCGTCACCTCATTCCCGCTCTTGGCTTTGAGCGGTATGGCCCATGCATGCTTACTCAGCACGTCGATGACAGTGAGAATGTAGTGGTAACCTCTGTTGAAGCGCGTATACGGACGCATCTCGACTACATCCGCTTGCCACAGGTCATCATATCCGTGTACTATGACGCGTCTTCGCGGAAAATTTCTTCTCGCCGGAGCGTGTAATTCTTCAACCAGCGATCGTTTCTCAGACATTCTTCGATTCTCGAATCTTTTTTTCAAATTCATTTAAAATAATTTGCACGTTATTCTGAAATGATGTTATCCGTCTTTCAATTTCATAAAGACGATCTTTCAAATCTTGAACACTCTGCTGCACATATCGTTTGTTTACTGCGTCAGTATCCTCCATTGGTAGCGCTAAACGTCGAATCTTACGCGACTTTGCGTCAAAGTCGGCTGCAACTCGACAAAGAGCGTTATCGTGCACGTAATTTCTGAACAATCCACGCCACTGATAGTGCCATTCGCTTCCTCCTCCGAGCGACAATCCAAACTTGTTGATCGGCATTTCGATGTCGACTGATCGACGTGTATACATAATGATCAATTTATAATCAGTCCGGCTTTGCGAAGTTCTTCGATAATTGATAGAATCTCATTATCGTGGCCGTTGTGACCCGCCTGACGCGAGCCTTCGAGCAATCGGAGACGATCTACAAGTTCGTTGGGATCGTCCCAGTGTACGTAATCAATCCTGTTGTCGGTTAATGACATGGCGCACGGCAAATCAAGTTTTTTCTTTATACCGGTCCCAACCTTTTTACCCAACACCAATGGTGCGATGATGTTCTTGTACTTGTGTCCCTTGTTACCCAATACTTGATTACCAGCGTTATGACCACGTCGATAAGCGTTTGTTGTCAACAGAATGCTCTTGTAAGTCTGTACATCGTCATCAGTGCATATACTTTCGTTAGGAAATTTCATAAAAATCAATTCATACAGTCCCGGTGTTCCATCGTATCTTTTTCCATCTATAATTATGTCATCGTTTTTGTTCAAGGTGATATGTTTGTCACCGAGCATCGTTCCCTCGTCGCTAAAGTATACTCCATACACGTCTATGTTGACAGCTTTCTTACCGCTTAAGACCGCTTTCAGATATTTCTGTCCCAAAGGACCATAGTTTGCATGCAGTTTTTCTTGCCCCTCGGATGTTTGAAGCAGATGTCGGATGGATGTTACGAGCGGTTCATTGGCAATCTCGAATACTTCTTCGACGGATGGAGCGTGGTCGTACGATAACTCACGCGATCCTGTTATTTCAGACATTTCGTTCAAAGCGGATGGTACAGTTATCGATCTATTCAACGCTGATTTCACAGGCGTGGACGCCTGTATAGGACTATCGTACTAAGCGTTCGGTCGTTTTCGCTTCGGCTTCGGTTCTTCGTCTTCTCCGAATAGAATGTTTCAATGTTGATGGGATCCTTTGGTGATTCAACAGTGTTTTCGACAATTTGTTTCAACGGTACGGTAATAGGTTTAAAGTGTCTCTCCAACGCGATCTCCTTCTCCATTTTACCAGTTTTCAAAGCGCGATATTTTTTACGAATTGAATCGCTCGTTTTCGCAATCTCCATGGCTATCTTCTCATGATCTTTGTTGCTGTCCATGTTGCACAGTCAGCGTATCGATGACAACTGAGATCGCTTTACGGTACCGCAAAATCATTAAATCCTTTTCTGTATCGTCCGTTAGCAAGCGCACTGTCCTTATCAATTACAAGAAATCCATACTTTTGCTGCCAACATTTACGATACAAATCGCAGAAATCTTCGTATAGCATGTCGGTATTGACATGATCGTTGCATACGCGTTTCAGGTTGGTTCCATCCTGCTTAAACAGAATCAACAGATTTGCATTGTCACATATAAGATGCTTCGGTATCTTTGCATAAGTCTGACAGAGATAGAAGCAGTCAACGTTCGCGTGGCGACCCATTGCAAAGTACTCTCTTATCGCGTCTTGCTTGTCGCATGCCACGTCATCAAAGATAAATATTGAATTCGGAAGCGTCTCGCTCGGTGGAATGATCTCGCTGTTATTGGAGAATGTAAAATAGTTTATTTCTTCGATCGGTGCTAATAAATTTTCGAGATATCGATACTTTGGTTGTTGCAGAGATTTCGAGTAGACGTATACATTCTCGAAGCGTACGCTGTTTGAGCACTCCAACAAACTTATCAGTACATTCGTCTTACCGCAATTTGACGGGCCGCAAATAATTGCGCGAATAGAACTCGGCAGCATATTGCCTTTATTGCACTTTATTGGTTTGTACTTTACCAATGGCACTTTATTGGTTTGTACTTTACCGTCAAGATTCGTTACCTTGATAGTTTGCGACTGGTGCACGAACCGCATATTTTCTCGTTCCACAGGAAACTGGAAAAGATGCCGCGAGTGGGAATATTTATATAGCTACGTAGAGCGTAATCGCTCAGTAATCAAAATGTTTCTCATCGTGTCGAATGTTTTAACCTCCAAAGAATTGGAATATATACCGAAAATTGTTTTACTGCGAGAGTTTGAGAATTGTATAGATCTGCTGTGGGATAGACTACCTGAGCATATACGAGCCGATTCGGAGGTACAACGACACCGTCGGTGTCTGAAGCATTACAATTTGCCGAGTCATCAAACGCATATCGACGGTCCAGCGCCGTTGATAAAGAATTGTAGCGAATGCCGTCGAGAGGCAGAGGTTTGTTAAATAAAGCGATAAACGCGCTTCCTTTCGAACTGCACATTCCCGGTTACCAGTTTTGTGGACCGGGGACGCGTTTGGAGAAACGATTAGCTAGAGGCGACAGAGGGATTAATCCATTGGACACGGCGTGTCGCGAACACGATATAGCGTATTCGCACAGCAACGGTCTCACTGAACGGCACGCGGCTGATAATATACTCGCTGAAAAGGCGCGGAAACGCATTACCGCGAGAGATTCGTCTCTCACAGAGAGAGCCGCCGCCACAGCTGTTTGGGCGGCTATGAAGGCTAAAACGAAGATGGGTATGGGCTTGAAAACAAAGAAGCGAAAGAGTAAGAGGATACTTCCGATAGCGAAACGCGGCGGTATCCTGCCTGTTCTTCCGCTGCTGGGCGTCCTCGGGTCGTTGGTCGGTGGAGCGGCGGGAGTCGCCAAGGCTGTAAATGATAGCAGAGCAGCGGAGCGTCAGCTGGAAGAAATGCAACGTCATAATCGCGTCATGGAAGGTCACGGTGTTTATCTCGCTCCCTACAAGCGTGGACGAGGAGTAGTAAAGAGAAAAAAAAAAACGTCGATGAGACGTTAAAAATACCAACGGGTGTAACTACCAACGTGCAACTGCTACAACTTGCAAAACGTATGCGCATTCCGTATTTCAGAGGTATCTTTATGCGTACGACATTACCGGTGGAAGGAGTACGTCGAAACGAGAGCGGTATCGTGAATCTAGACAACGCTGAGGGATCCGGTACGCATTGGGTAGCGTACGCGAAAAGGGGGAATCGTGTCATATATTTCGACAGTTTTGGTAACCTCCGGCCGCCGAAGGAACTCGAGCGATATCTAACAAACTGTGTAATCCGGTACAATCACATACCTTATCAACGTTACAATCAGAGCAATTGCGGACAGTTGTGTCTACAGTTTCTACGGACGAGTGATAAACAATTTAAAGACTGACATTGCGCGGTTTAACTCAGTATTCGTTCAAACATGTCGCTGACGTTTACGCTGACGGGCAAAAGTAGTGTTCTAGCCGTGAGCTATTTTCCGGCGGTAGATTTGAGCGATGATGATTACGAGCTCGGTCTGACTGACTTTGAAACATACTACACTCTACCGAATGTAAATTCGACAAACAACAAGTTTTATTTCGACAATGAGGAAATTGTGATTCCCGAAGGATCGTACGAACTGCGCGATATAGAGCGGTATTTGAAGCGTGAAATTTTACGTTCTCGTGGTGTAAAACGCAAGGAGGATGACGAGTATCCACTGGTAATTCGCGCCAACAACAATACGATGAAGAGTGAAATCAAATGCGCATATTCGATAAATTTCGCCAAACCTTACAGCATTGGACCGCTATTGGGATTTTCATCGAATCGCGTGCTCGAACCGCAACAGTGGTATGAGTCGTGCCAATAAATATCATCAACGTAAACATTATTCGTATCGAGTGCAACGTGACCGAGGGTGCGTACAGCAACGACAAGTGCGTGCACACGATACACGAGTTTTCACCGATTGTCCCACCAGGATATAAGATATCAGAAAGGCCGACGCAGATCATTTACCTTCCGATCGTCGTACGGAGCATTATGGATCTGACGATTCGCATGGTGGATCAAGACGGTCGATTGCTCGATTTTCGTGGAGAGGAGATGACCGTTAGATTGTATGTACGGAGACGACGGCGCTAACGTGAGATGCTTGTGCTGAATGAACAACCGAAACAGACGAGAGATTTTAACGAAGAGATTTCATCAAGAAAAAAACTCACTGCGTCCAACGTTGCATTTTTAAAGTCGTTGGGTCTTATCGTACGAAATGGTTGATATCTTAAACATTATCGGTGAGCCGATCTTTGACGATCGTATCATCAAGTTTGAAATTCATACGTACAATCCATACGCCAATGCGACGTTTGGACATAGCGACGAGATACGAATACCCATACAGCAGCAGGATTTATACATGTTGCCATGCGAAAGTTTTCTCTACATTGAAGGAAGATTGACCGTGAAGAAGGACGAAGAGACGCCAACAACGCTTGGAAATAATTGCATAGCGTTCATGTTTGATGAAATTCGGTATGAACTCAACAATGTGGAGATTGATCGCAACAGAAATGTTGGGATTACCAGTACCCTCAAGAACTATGTATCGCTGACGTATGACAAGTCTTTGATTGCGTTGAACGCTGGATGGGATTCTAGATTCGATATAACGGAAGGTTACTTTAACTTTTACGTACCGCTCAACATGCTGTTGGGCTTTTGCGAGGATTACAAACGCGTGATTGTTAACGCTCGCCATGAATTGATTTTGATACGAGCGCGCAACGATAACAATTGTAT